CGTAACGTTCCGATGGCTAGAAAGTACATAAAGCATTGCTGTTTCAAACCAGTTTGCATTGTACTGTCTTCCTTCTAGCCAACACTATGTTATTCGGCTTAACTATGTAAATAGAAGCGGCGACCCCAACAACAGCGTGGAACAGCACAATGTCCTTGAGAGTTTCTCGGTTGTTCTTAAACGCTTTGTTCTTTTTAAGTAGGGCCTGATTCTTGCGATTGAGAAAAATTTGCACCGTACATCCATAGCTACCAGCAACAGTAGCATAAAACCGTCATTATTGTCTCATTTCATGCCACTACAGGATGTTGGGGTAGCAGGTTGCATGAAGGAGTGGTAAAAATAAATCAATGGTATTTTCCTTTCTATGTGGAAATAGGCTCCGCCTTTACAGTGACATCGCCGCCAGCCAGCCAGCCAGCCAGCCGCCCAACAGAAACCGGTATCTCGAACACCCGCTTTTGCCCCACTTCATCCCATCGACTCTCGGGAGACGAAGGGATGAAGACCCGTCGATAGGAAAGCCTTTGCACTGTACCGTGCCGCTCCGCGCTTTCCTTACCCTTAGGAGCGTTACCCAACTCTATGCAGAAATGGGGTCGTTGCGGCCGTCTCTGCTGAATCGTTTCATTTCCTATTTAGCTATCCTGTGGCTATTATTTGCTTTCGATGAAGCTTTACCGCGCTGCTCCGCATTGCATTGCATTGCTTTGGTTCGCTTTGATCATTCATTGTTGTCACTGGTTCCCAGAGCGTCTCCGGCCGTTAATTGAAGCAGCTAGGAAAGGAAATGTTACTTTAAGTATGTGTGCTCCTACGTATATATGTATGTACCTAGTAGTGGTGCCTCGTTCAGAGGACTAATTGATGTACAGTTCTAGTGTTCTTATAACAAACATAAGTTAAATCATAAAGGAATAGCGTACCGTTAGCGAAAAAGCAGGCGTCCACATTTTGTTTTTTTGCGAACGGGGATCTCGGAAGGTTAGGAGACGAGTACGTTCAATCAAGATGATTACTTTCCCGACTATTTAATGGTACATCATCACATCTCTACTGCAACAACCCGGGCTCGACAGATTTAAGCCTCAGATACGCCGTAACGAACTTTGTTGTCTTTGCGCCCGAATCAGCCGTAGTGCAACCAGACAACGAATTCGTAACTGGACATGGTGCTTGTGGTGGTAGCCGATAGATCGATTGCGGTTAGCTAAACCTGATCGGATAAAGTGAACAATCATCTACCCCTATATCCAATCTTCATTCGTTGAGAAGAACGACATTGGTCGGTGGCGCCATAGAATAGGTGCACCTTTATCTCTGGATTCTCCCTCATTGAGAGTGAGAAGGCCTATTTCGCATTGTTCTTGTGATGAAGTGGCGCGCTGCTTCTCCCAACAGCGCCGGTATCTGGACAGTGTCAGACAAGGAACAAGCGGCAAATGAAAGAAAGAAAGAAAATAAAGAAGGAGAAGAGAAAGAAGCGCTGCATCAAGCCCATTGTCCGCGATGCGCCATCGTACAGTATTAGAACGGACGTAGGGAATCGACGTAAACGGGCTGAACACGATAGTTGTGTGGCTAACACGGTGAGTTTTGACCACTTGACTTTGCAAAGGAAGCCTGCTCAAGCGCCTCTGCCGCCTTCTCTCGTCCAACAACCAAATCATTCGGAAGTGGAGAAGCTGTAGGACGCTTTGTGAGTGCATGCTATTGCGTCGCTGCTGCTGGGAAACTGGTTCAGCGTGAAGTCCTGCTTGGGCCGACCAATTGGACTCCGAAAGCCAACAGCCAACTGGTCCCTCGACGCCGCCGACCCGTCCGAGAATGCTGAGAGCAACAAAGATAAGAAAGCGTCGATTGACAGAGTAAAGTCTCTGCAGGTAGCGAGTGTTAGGACTTTTCTAACCTGTGCAGTCTATACGACTGATGCTGGTTAGCGCCGGAAAGAAACCAACAAAAGCATAAAACGAATCAACGAGCAGCTTCTCTTTTTCAAGCGATTCGACGAATCGCATTGTGCGCCGTGTATTCGATGCGGCCCCGATGGAACCAACGACTCTGACGAAATCTCAGAAGATTTCATACGATACTCGGCGAGAGTGATGTTGCCGTCATGATATCATCATTAATAGCCAATGGAACGACTGTTCACACAGATGGACAGAGAGACCCACCGCAAGAAAAAGAAGTCACTTCTCTGACCGCCATCAGCAGCGGCGTTTCTATCATGTTCTATATAGCTGCACAGAACGTTCGTGTTTAGAGAGCGGTGCAGCGGATATCTGCCGGTAAATTGCCAGCTCTGCGTGTCCGCTTATCCGCAGTATATTCACAAGCTAAATTGGAAAAGAGCCCGAGATGGGGAACAAATGCTGATGGGACATAGCAGCGCTAGAAAGCTTGTGGGCAGTACAGAAGCACGTTATGACATCTGCACGTTTCTTATCAAATTGTTAAAAAAAAAAAAACAAAAAAAAAAAAGCATAGTTCTGTAACAGCCTAGCTAGTCTGTACACATCTCGGTAGCTCATATGATCTCTGCTTTGTAAAACTTGTTTCTCTGCTAATGCTGTCTGCACATTTGTACAAGCAGACGGAAACATATACACGGCGAGAGTCTAGAATTCATTAAAGTTGATACTCTGGGTGACGGGAGCGGCCTCAGCCGACGACTCGGCTGGCCAGATACGCTGTTCCAGCTCTTGCTGGCGACAGCACAGTGCAGAACGGCACACATGCACACACCCATAGACATCTCAACTAGTGAATAGGAAAGCCAGTCAAGCATTCGGCGCGCCGCGTTTTGCTGTAGTAGCCTGTTGCACAAAGATGCTTGTTGTTCTTGAGAGTTCGACGCCTCGATCGAAAAGTGCAGATTTGAGATACGACCAGATGACAGCCTTCGGGTGGCAGCGGCCCGGTGCCCGGCATCGGGTCGAGTCGAGCGGGCGGTCCGTCGGTCGATCAAACGGGCGAAAGTGAGAAAGACAGAGAAAAAAAAAAGGAAGATAGGCGAGGCGAGCGTGGTCACGATAGTGAATACGCCGGTGCTGCTGACGCTGCCTGCTCCAGAACTGCAACTGCGTACAATGGTAACTATCACTACATATATCATGATGGCAACGATCTAATTTTTCTGCTTCAATTGACATTAGTTCTATAGCGCAATAAAAAAATCAACAACGAGAAAGGGGAACTACGTAGAAATTGACGGCAGACAGACAACAACAACGTCAGCTGATTAGAGAATGCTGAGTTAACTTAAAACATACTTGGGTTGACCTAAGTTAAGGCCGCCATATAGTACAACGAATGAGTTTACACCAGCAACGAAAATGACCGTTTTTGCACTGCAACGGAGCCACTAATTAGATCGTGTCGGCACCCTGCGACAGCCTCAAGCCTGGTCCGGGCGGTAGTAGCAGTCCGTTTTGCGGTCAAATTGGCCAAATCACGGCTGATTAGAATATCTTTCAAAACAACAATGTAGTGGTCCATCGACGACTTTTCGAGTGGGGGCGAATATTTATGATCCGTTGACAACCTCGTTAGGCGTCGACCAGGCGATTCTCTCCCTTTCTTTAGCTAGCCAACAATACGCCGCTGCCATTAATTGGGGCGAAAAAAAAGCCAGCGATGCTGCTCGCTAGCGGCTGTATAGATAGAGGTGATGATTACAATTAAAAAGCTAACCCCAAGGGAGCCATTTCAGGTCTGGTCGTGTCAGAGCCTACAAGCCAGAGATCAGAGACCAGAGCAAAGTTAGCTAACTCAGCTTGTTCTGTCGTCGTCATCAACAATGCGAGGTCAGAGAGTCTTCTATGGTGATACATGCGGCTGCCTGCTCCCATGCCAACCCATAGCTAAGCATCCATCGCTGCATCGTTGTCGATTCGCTGTGTAGAGATGTGTGTCGAGCTGCCGTGTATACGCAGAGGAAAGTTACATCTTGCCGACTTCGGTTAGTCCGCGGTGCCGGGGCCACCGCGAGGGGTAACCGCAGCACATCGTCCTAACACCACTGTCCCCATCACCATTAAGCTCAATCCCTGTGCAGTCTTGCTGGGTTTGGAGGGAAAAAGGAGCTCAGGTCGAATTTCCATTCACGAACGATCGTCTGTCTGATCATCACCACTACGAATCGGGAAGAACTCCTCTTAAAATACCACCATCTTTTCCATTGACCTTGCGAATTCAACTAGTTTTCGTGTTTCACAGATAAAGCTGATACGGCTATCCTACCTTGTTTCGACATCCATATAATACTTACTGGGCTGCTACCATGGACGTGGTCACCCTGTGAGGAGGGAAAGGGAAACAGCTATTTCTATACATATATATATATATATATATATATATATATATATATATATATATATATAGAGGTTAACGATAGACAATTCCTTCGTGGTGCAACTCCTCGATTCGGTCTCATGGGTCGCTTGCTGCATAGTTTCCTACTCCCGACCCCATTCTACCCATCATCATTCCGTCCATGGAGAGCTCGTACAAAAGAGGCAGGCAGCGAATGAAGTGCCCGGAGTTGAAACACGGTGTCGACTATGAATATCACCTATCTATCTATTTAGCAGGAACAGCAGTCCCCATGGGGATGAATGCTAGCGCGGTGATTTAATCCTCCTCACCGCGAAATCTCAGCCAATAAAATCGAATAATCTGCTGTTCAAACGAGCTAGAGTGTAAATGCCGTTCCTAGTCGCCTGTGTATTGGTAATGAACGCAATGATCATAAAGAATGTACTGCTACTATCAGTGTAGAGAGGTGGGCACAGCCTGGCTTGAAAGTGTGACTATTCAATGCTTGCAAAAGAATGAAAACGGGTAGGAAGTTTGGTCGAAATTAAAGCTGAAACAGTTATATGTTTCGCGTTGGTAGGTGGCAAACAAGCTATAGCTGATGATGACTATTATTATTGTTTTAGAAAATGTGACGTGTGTTAAACTAGAGTACAAAGTATGATAACGAAGACACCGACCTGTTGATCGAGGATACCGAGGGAATGTTGTCCTGGTCGCAGACCTGATCGGCGAGGAGACGGTCCCGGATCTCCCAGGCAAACATTGTCGGATTCTGTTTCTTATAGTTGGCGATGGCGTCGACTACCTTGGGGGTCGCTACTTTAGGCTTGCTTCCACCGATCACTCCTGGGCGAATAGAACCCGTTTCGTAGTAACTAACATATGAAAATCAAATAAAGCACAAGCAAAGTAAGGGTGATTAAAACGTTACGTGGGACTTTAACTTAGGAAAGTAAGCATCAAGAGTATCATTTTATGTTAGTAATATTTGTGCGTAGACGGACACAATTTTTTTAGACGAGTGTGTTTGTGTGTGTGTATATATATATATATATATATATATATATATATATATATATATATATATATACAGCCCATCTTACGTCTTTATTGTATTAAATTTATTCATTAAATCCGTACGCTTAAATCTAGTAGGAGTATTTGTTAGCAATGTATACTGGCAATTGCACGGCTACGATTACGTCACACAAACTTAAGTGCAGACCGCAACGAGCTATCAATTAACTCTGTGATTCGATCGTTGCTACCGTCAGAAGGGAAGTTGATCGCGTGATTCTTCTTCAGGGTATATGAACATTCGATCCTGAGTGGCATGATTCGCGCGTTGCTTTTTCGCCTCTTCCAAAGGTCCGCCCCAAACATAATCTTCTCGTTTGTTCCCATTGTCACACCTCCATATTTACTCATGAGACTTAGACGTCTTAATCCGCTATTTCCTAGCTTTTGCTTGAGTAGAGCAACAGTCAAGAACCTAAGTAATCTGTATGTGGTGGCTTCAGTCTCGTTTATAGGCCACTTCTCTAGTAACCGCCTCCGCGAAACCACAACCCCTTCCCAGATCCATGTATGTAACGACGGGTTGACTTTGGTAAAGCGCATATAGTTCAGTGCAATAATTACATAAGCAGCTATTCCACTCGGATTTCCAGAAGTCTATATAAGACCCAGCAATAGAACGACGACCTTTTATGGTCCAAGCAAGGAATCTAGCGAAAAAAATCTATTGAAATATCGGAAAACAGACACGAGACCAAGGTTCATTCCGAAATTACATTTATATCGGCAAGGCAATATACAATTGAAAATTATTTGCAAAAACTACCCCTGTTGGTTTCGACCTAATGAAGATCGGTTGAACCGATCGTCTGCACATCTTTCGCTTGAGCAGAAGAGTAGAACGGCTATTAGCGTATGCGTGCGAGGAGCGCTTTGAGCGAAGGCAGCCATCACAATACTTTGAATGTGTATATGAACACAGCAAGGACATGGTAGATAAAGATGTGAAGTGCTCGAGCGTATGATGAGCTCGCTGTAGGAGGAGTGGCAAAAGCTACAACGGGGGCGCCAAACGATCATTGACAATTACATTCGACCCTCAAGACTCACCCGAGTTTGAGCTCGACTTCATCGAGCACGAAGTACGTAGAGCATGAAGTGATGAGCTTCAACAGCTACGTTGCCTTACTCGTAGCTCTATGGTTTGCTCATTGGCTTGCTGCTGCTGTCGACAACAAGCCACGCAGAGTTAGCGGGACGGAGAATCCACTCCGGGCTGAGAGTGCGCAGCTCTTCTATGCGTAGTCAACGGGGAGCGAGCACAATGGCAGTGTCAAACTCTTCAGACACATGTTGCGCTATCGTCCTTTGTCCGTCGGACCTTAAGGACAGATAGACTACCAGTCGAACCGCCACCGTGAGGAGAGCTGACTGAAATGTCCTCCTCATATTCCCGCCCGGCCTGATACTCGTTCAGTAGCCAATGTTTAGGGTTACTGCTGCTGCTATTTGTTAAGCTCAGCAGCGTCGATCGGTCTATGTATTTCGCTGTCGGTCCCGCCAAAGGCGCAATAAGTCTCTATGTATGCGGTGAAACACTGTACAGCAGCAACCGCATTTGCTGTATTGCTAGTTGACTCTGCTGAGAGCCCTGTGAGTGACCGGTCGCCGATAGACCTATGAGCTAGTACGACACAGATAAGGCCAGCACATCGGTCTGACTGACTATTCTGGCCGGTTGTGGGGTCGGAGACTTAGTTGAATGTGCTCTTCAACGTTGGCTCGCTTCGGAGCAGCGAGGAGCAGACGCAGCTGTTGAAAACCTCAGCTGTTTTTTGGTGCCTCTATTCGTCGACAGCAGTTGCTGTTCGTTTTGCGCCGGCCCGAAGTGACGAACGGCCGTAGCAGCAGCAGCAGCGGGGTGGGTACAATAGGAATGCAAGTGCACATATACTGTACATGCAAATCTTCGCGCTTCAAGTGAAGCATCGAAGAGGGAAGAAAAAGGCAGATGCTGCCGCTACCGCCACGAAGCGCTATTGTTTAACAGATAACAGACACACAGCGAACTACATGTGTACCACACGACGATGCTGGACTCCCTGTTGTGTGCCTGGTTGCAGTTTGCTAGTCTGTATCTCTGTGTACCGCAGTCACTAAGCTTCCAAGTCACTCAGTGGTAATGTATGCACTTTATATATATATATATATATATATATATATATATATATATATATATATATATATATCGCATAGTTACTCCTCATCCAAAGAAAACAAGCGAGCGGTCTGATCGATGTTCTCATTATTAACAGTTTCTGTGTATAGGAGTGTACAGGGGTTCGAGAATAGTTTTCGCCCCCGAATTGCGCTAAAGGCTACTTGCATAGACCGTAATTTCTTATAGCCGTCCGGCTTCATTATCGGGAGCCAGCTCAATGATAAGGCCAACTCCGGCTTCTCTAGTTCCATAGTGACGATCCGCCCCACCCTTATAGAGCATCGGCTTCGCGGCGAACCGCCATTGCAGTCTTTTGCCTTATTCTACCCGACCTTTACTATGAGCTGCCTGGACCAGTCAGGGGTTGCGTCCTCTCGCCATCGTTAGATTTTTCTTTCCGCTGGGTCCTTTTCTCCGGACCATAACATAGCTAATAAAGTCGTCACCCGAACAAATAACATCATCATCACGTACCACCAACCGCCTCTGTAAAGCTCCACTATCCCGTTTCGGTTTGAATGTCTTGTACGCTTGCGCAACCAGTTAATAACGAGAAAATCAGCTTCTATTTTTGTTGTGAGAGAAGATCATACCTGCTGGATGGAAGCAGCAAGACAAGGTAGCAAATGCATCTGCATAAGGCGAAGGCAAATCAGCTCTTGACGGTCAGCTATATCTTCTGCAAATCGAGTTCGACGGTTATTCTGTACTGAAAAACGAAGACAGAGAAAGAGAAGAAAGGGGCGCAGAAAGAAAGCGCTAGTGCGGGAAGACTTTGTTGGTGATGAGATTCCCCGTAGCAAAGGTAGTAGTTGCAATAAAGGTAGTTGTATGGTAATACGAATCGTAGCTGAAGCGGCGGCGTTGAAGCAGCTGTAACATTACCAACGTGAAAGCAATTCGAATACTCCCACGGCCGCCCGTTGCTGACTCCACGTTTAGTTTTGTCGCTTCAATTTTAGCTGATTATCTTTTTCACCTCCTTATTTTGCTTTTACTTGATATTTTTGTTCAGGAAATACATTACCGATCATCGGACCTCGTACACAATTCGTGTGACTGGACAGACCACTGCGAGCGAGTTCCGTGTCGTCCGAGGTCTCGAGACTAATCAGACCAACCTTAATCACGCATGGACGGACCGAACGCAAATACGTATCACACACCAACAATCCGGCCTGTGGTACAAGCAGTAGCAGCAGCTGCTGCTGCTGCTGCTGCTTTCCAATGTATATATATGCCGGAATTATTCTTTTTGTTTTTCTCATTGTTGTCAGCGACGAACGTTGAAAGAACGGCGGCTATTCCGTTGCAGTTTGTCTTGCTCTTGACGACTAGCGGCAACTGTCATCTCGACAATATTTGCTCGTAAACAGTGGGAATCTCTTTGCTAAGGCGGCAGCAGCAGCAGCAGCAGCAAGAGAACTGCCGCTTCATGGCGGACAACCATATCTTCGGAGTTACACTGTTGGCTTGACAAAGGGAAAAAGGCAGATATGGCGTCAATGAAGCGCTGCTGTTGCTACCGCTACCGCCATTCCCACTAGCGCTCTAGCAATGACAGAAGATTTCTTGACTTGCTCGAGATGGCTAGTAATAACAATGTCGTCTGCTGCTACTGGTTGCTACTTTTCAAACGTCCGGCTTGTGGACGCTTCAAACTAGCTTATGAGCACAACGACGATTCCGCCAACAAACGCCGGAAGGATTCTATCCATGGTGAGAATTGTATGGCGGTTAATAACGGAAGCCAGTCGAGATGATCCTCTATCATCAAACGCTAGTTTCGATCAATGGCGATTGAAATGACCCGCAAGCATAGGCTGTTTGTCGGTGGCGACCAACTCAATGGTGTCGGCTGTTGAATCAATTTCTGCTGCTGCTGTAGATGATGATAATGCTTCTGCCAATGGTGCAATAGTGATGATCATGCAGTTGAATGCCGTTGAAAGATCACGTCGCGCGGAGGCTGGTCCACCGGCGCTGGTCCGAATGAGGAGAACGGTCATCAACGGGACGGCGAGAAGGCTAAGTAATGTAAACTACACCGACGTAGCATTAGGGACGTCATCAGCAACGAACAAAATGATACGACTATTGGCTACGCTCCGTTTACAGCCGTCAAGAGTGAAGCTGCTGTAAAATGAAAAGTTGCCGTTGGAGACGAAGAGTGGAAGAGATACGGTACATAGGCATAATAAACGGACAGATAGCTTAGATTATAAACATCTTATATCGGTTCTATTGAGCTGCCTCTAGTCGCAAGAAAAGGACTATATTGTCATGCCTTTTTGATATTTTCAAGTGTATTCAATATAACATTAGTACGGTACTACATATCAGGGGGATAAAGCTCCTTCAAATGATTTTCTCAAGGCGTTATCCTCGTATGGAACTGAATAAACCTTGTTATAGCCGAAATTTAGTCTATAGTCCTATAGAGAATCGACAGGGCGATTGCATTTATCGTCTCCACAAAGAGCATCATTTACCATCAGCAAAACACATAGATGCATTTATTATGCCTCTATTAAATGTTCAGTAAATGCATTACCTTTCCACAGATGTATTTATTATAGATTTAATTTGGGTTAGGCATGTTATGCTCTGTGGTTCACCCATCTGTAAACAACAAGG